CCCACATACACACATGCAAAGAAATGGCATCGGGTGCTCTCTCTCCTCCTCCAAATTGCAGGCTCAAAAAAATGCGAGGGCTTGGAAAAGTTGGACCACTTTGATTTGCACTCTGTGTCTGGAGGTGTGAGCCACATTTCTAGAGCCATCAGGGTGAAAGGTGGACATGTAGAGGGACAGGACCTTGCCAGCACCCTGTGGAGGGGAGGGCTGTGTCACACACTCAAGTCTTATGAGACACCCGGTCAGTGCCTTCACCCCCTTTGTCCTCATCCCCGGGGAACACTTTGGTAAGATGTGCATCTCCTTTGACACGGAAAATTCCACTGAAACAGAAGAAAAATGCTTTTTTTGTTCTGAGGGTGGCTGAACACTGGAACCAGTTGCCCGAAGAGGTTGTAGAGCCTCCGTCTGTAGAGATATCCCAACCTGAGCCGGACACAGCCCTAGGCAACTGGCTCTAGGTGACCCTGCTTTGAGCAGGGGTTGGACAAGGTGACCTCTGGAGGTGCCTCCAGCCTCAGGGACCTTGTGGCTTACAGAGGACCCCTGTAAGATGCAGTGCACGAGCACAGCACTGACAGCAACCTTGCCTCCAGAGGGACCGAGGAGCTATCACCTTTCCAAGAGGCAGCAAGTTTCTCACCCTGGTGGGCTGTGACCTGCGAAGCGAACAGGCATGTAGAGCTGGACTGCCACCGGCTCGTATGGTGCAAAAGGATTTTGTCACCAAACGGTGCGAGTGACGTGATCCAAAGGAGTGGGGCTGAGTCTGAGAGCAAAATATCCTCAGGTCTGTCATGAGAGGCTGGCTTCGTTCCGCTGGAGCTGACGGCCAGCTGCATGCCGGGGAGCACATATTCCCTTGTCCTTGCCCAGATCATGTTGTCACAAGCTTTTACCACCGAGCAGTGATTTTCTGAGACACCTTAGACCATACACAGGCTGTGTTTGCTGAGCAGGTCCTGAGACCCCTGCGTGCCTGTGGCTGGAACCAGTGGCACAGGAGGGTGATGACAAGCCCAGGTACTCCAGGAAAGGGTTTCTGCACATTTATAGTAAAGACTTTGAATCTGAAGCCACACAGCTAAGGAGACAGTTTACAGGTGCTCTGTGCATTTAAGCGTATCGATAAAAACCACACTTTTGCCAGCATTGTGTGTTTTGTTTTGTAAACAAATCCTCTCTGGGGATCTCCATTTTGCTCATACTGGTGCCACTGGAGGAACTGGCCAGGCGTTCAAAAGTTGCCACTGTGCGTGTTGCCGTGTCCAGCAACACGGAGCACCGGCAGCTGTGGCACATTCTCCCGAATGAGCGACCCCACCATGTTCACCTGGATGAGCAGGACAGGGCAGGAGGAAAGGGAAAAGGAAAGCCCTTGCAGCCACTGCGCTGCAAGATTAGCATGGAGATGTCATGCTGGAGAGCATATACTCCTGACACAAATCCTTACATGATCAGGGAGGGAGATAGGATGTCAGCTCTAATGATAACCCAGCTCAATAAAATAAAATAAAATAAACTTTTGAGCAATTATTAAAAAATAAAATGGATTCTGCTGGCATAATCTGACAACATACTGACGGTGGGAGCAGACATGCATCACGATAAAGGAAAATCCCACCAGTAGAGTAGAGTTTCATTAGATAAGCTGATAACTCATATAGCACTGATGATCCATGCCAGAGAAAAGCACTGTAAGTCCCTGGCCTCTGAGTTTACTATAAAATTCTCATTAAGATCAGATGGTTGTGCACTTCAGCTCTCTTGTTAAAGCTGCCATCAGATAACGAAGGGTCTTACCTCCCAGGGCAATGACGAGGAAGAAACCCCGTAGTGGATAGACCCTTTGTTTTCCCAACAGGGCTGGCGCAGTGAACCCCGGTTCACTCTGCCCCATGGTCGTATCACAGCTGCCGGATGGGATTCACGGGGCCTGAGCCTCTCCCTGCAAATCATCCTCTTCCTAAACTCAAAACCTGGGCAGGGGTGCTGCAAGCCATCCCCATCTCTCGCGTGGCAGAAGCCTGTGGAGCGCCTGCAGTGGAGCAGCAGAGGGAATCCTGGATAGATGTTCTGGGATGTTAAACTCCATTTTCCCTCTGTCCACAGATGTGTTTTCTTTACTGGTATGATTCTGTGCTCATTCCCAGAGGTAACACACCTGTTTTACTCCACCTTCCTATACAAGCTCATGTTTTCTTTTGGTTCCTCACCCACCCACTCCTATACTTAGCTGTGTTCACTTTGTGATGATAAAGCAGGTTCAGATCAAGTCTCCAGCAAATTTAAATCTGGCTATTAACAAGCAAAGTCTGTTTAGCACTGGGAGAGGCTTTACTCTCTACCTCTGGCCTTTAGAAACCTCCCAAAGTAGTCACTGGCAGCTCTGAGGTGGAAACTCTAATCCTAAAACACTACCCTATACCTGTAGCATCAACTGCCAGCTCACTCACAGTTGTAGCATCAGTTGTTCTCACTCTTCCTTTGGAGGAGGTTCACACTGCTTAGAGATAAAGGAGGGGTCCCAGCAGGGTGTATCATCATGGCTCCTCTGTGCCTCCTCGGCCAGCAAAGAGAAAAGTGCTTAAATGATGCCTCAGGAGATAGAAGTGAAAGATATCAGAGCTCAGAAAACAGTTCTAGTCAGAGACCATGTTGGGTGACCACAGCAAGACAGAATCTGGGAGGACCTGTTACCCTGTGTGCTGGTCCAGAAACCCATTATCTCCCCACAAAAGTGGTATAGGTCATCACCAACCCCACTGTAATGACGCTGGCACAAAGCCATGTCTAAAAGCTGGTTGATGTAGTTCTTGCCCCACCTTGCCTACTTAGATTACCAGGCCTTTGGCTGGTTGGTGACGATATTACATAGCGTTACATGTTATAGTATTACAGTGGTACTTTTTGTACAAAGGTATGAAATTATCACCGTGATGATGGACAGAGTTCGGTGTCATAGTTTGCAATATTTGGTATTAGCCCCTCTGCCAGTTCTGGAGAAGATGCCAGGGTTCACAGATAGTAAATACCCTGATGTTGCAAGGAATTTGAAAAAAGTCTAAAGGAACCCAAATAAATATATGTGAATATATATACACACATATACACGTATGAGTGTGGATGATGTATACATCATCCACACCAGGGTGGCCCCTGGAACCAAGGGCTGCTTGGCCCTCCACATTGCATGCGTGCCTGTACACACACACACACACGTGTGAATGACTGACAGAGGGATGCACACCAACAGTTTGTTCTGTCTGTCCTTCCATTTGCCTGCTCTGCTTTTCTGAGCCACCAGCACGTTGACATCTGTAAGAATCCAGCCAGATTTTATTAAAACGTCATCTTAGGTTTAAAAAATCTTTTAAAAGCCCTGCAGGACTCTTGTAAATTTCAGTCCCCTGCCAGCTCGCAGGAACAGAGCAGGCAGGCAGATCGGCAGCAGGTGTGCTCTGAATGCAGACGTCGCCAAGCTGTAACAAAATGGGTAGGTCTCCTCTGCTCTCCACCAGTACTCCATTTCTTGGGATTTGCAGTCTCCACACCAAGCCCAGTGGAGTTACTGACCTCCAAAAGGCCTATGGAAAGGTCCCATCTCCTGCTCCATGATGCAGTCCAACCTTCCCCCTCTCCCATCCTTAAATGTTTCCCCGTCAGCATCCCAGCCAGGCTGCTGCTCCTGCCCTGCAGGATGCCCACCTCCAGGCTAGGCAGTCCGGGTACCCACAGAACCTTGCTTCAGGGCACCGATCCAGCGTCTCAAAAGGCCGGGAGCCTTTCCCTCCTGCGGCCAGTGGTAGGGCTTGGGAACATCTTGTCCTGTGCAAGTCAGGGGGTGGGAGGCTGCATGTGGAATGGCTTCGAGAGAGACCCTCCAGCAGACCTTGCAGGACTCGGCATGGGGCAGAGGTGTTGCTGGGTCCTGGCTCTGGGGTCCTGCCACCCACCCAAGCACCGACCGCAGCACAACGGGTGCTGGCAGGAGCAGCTACACGGCGTGGAGGGTTCCTCTGAGGCTGTGGCATGGTACGGAGTGCCACCTTCCACCCAGGCCTCCAACGAGCTGGTTCCCAAGGGAAAGACGGGCTGCTGTTCTTCTCAGCAGGCACGGCAAAGCTCGCTGCAAGGGGGAAACCCACACCTGAAAATTTACGACCGTTTACCGCACTCTCACGACGGGCTGCTGGGTCCACCCGCACCCTGAACGCCCACCTCAAATCCAAAGAAAAGGCGACGTTCGTGGGACGGAGGAGCTGCAGAGGCTGTCAGGTCTCCATGGGGGGGGGGGTTAGCAGCCGGGCCTCGTGTCCTCTCCCCACGCACGCCCTGCACGGCTCCTGCTCCGCCCCTGCGTGGGCGCTCCACGTGCACTCACACGGGTGGGTTCCAAAAGCGTTCCGGCCGCCCTTTCTCGCCGCGCTCTCCCTTCCACCCCGCACTTCGCGGGGGCTGCCCGGCACCGGGAAGGGGCGGGCGGGACCGGAGCGGAGCGGA